TTAGCATACAATCCCCTGGGTACTAAAGATCTAAGCATCTTTTGATACGTTAGTATCAAAAGCATATTTTATTCACCACTAATTTTCCTCTTCAGTGAGTTATCTGCTCAAGGATTTGGTCATTTTGCAATTAGATTGTCAGTGTTTGTTTCTTTACTGATTTCTAGGAGTTCTTTATACATTCTGAACATTAAGATTTTATGTTCTAGAAATATATTCTCCCAATTTTTTTCTTTCCTTTTCACTTCCTCTTCTTTTTATAGCTTTCTACCCTTTATTTTCCCATCATGTCATGATAAGACCTCCAGCAACAATGGCTATGGAAATAGTACTTACTAGTAAGCACCCTTGTCTGTGTGTGTTCCTATTTTAAGCGGGGATTTTTGAAGTCTACCTTACTGAAAATGATTTTATTTTTTTACTAGAGACTTTTTACCAAGTCAAGGAAGTTCTCTTCTAGTCCCAGTTTCTGAATTTTTATTATGATGAGGTATTAAACATTATTAAGTGATTTATTTTCTCCATCTAAAGAATCTACATATGAATTTTCTCCTGTATTTTGCTAGTGGTGAATGACATTTATACTTATGTAAAACTACCATTGCATTTCTGAAATAAATTCAGATTTATAATTGAGTTTTACCTTTTAAAACATTTCCAAAGTCAAATTTCCAATAATTCTGTTTAAGATTTTAACATGTATTTTAATGAAAAAAAAAAAAATAATTTTCTTCACATACTCTTGGTATTAGGGTCTACTGACCTTATTAAAATGATTTAAAGAAATAATTTTTTTCTAGTCTTTAGAAGAGTAGAATGACATGATCCTTAAAAGTTTAGTTTAAGAGAACTGAGCTCTAAAATCCTCTGGGTCAGTTGTTTTTCTCCATGGGAAGATTTTAAATCATTGATTACCAAATTGAATAGTTATAGTATTATCAGGCTTTGTATTTCTTCCTGTGTTTTGATGAATTATATTTTTCTAGAAATTTGTCAAATTCTTATAAGTTTTCAAAATTTACTGGTACAAAGTTTACCAGTACTCTTTTTAATATTCAATATTTATTATTTTATAGCGGTATCCACTTATTTATTTCAGTCTTATGCCTTGTCCTTAATTTCTTATTTACTATCCAAATGGATTGTCACTTTCTTAATCTTTCAAAGTTTCAACTTCTGATTTCTTTCATCTCTGCTTTTGTCTTTCCTAATTTTAATCTACTTTTCTTTGTTTATTCTAACATTCCTTTTCTATTTTAAGTTAAATGCACAGCTCAATTTTCAGTTATTATTCTTTTTTTAATATAAGTATTTTTAAAATTTCCCTTTAAGTACCAATTTCATTGCATCCAAAAAAAATTTGATTGGTGGTATTTTCATTATCATTTACTTGTGAACATTTAAAATTTTTATTATTTCTTCTTTATCCTCCTGATTATTTAAAAGAATGGATAATTGAATTTATTTCTAAGTTAATAGCATTTTGGTCAGAAAATATTGAGAGCAGGAAAATGACACTGAAATGTGTTAATCTGTGCTTTGTAATATAGTACAAGTTCGGTTTTTATATGTTTGTGTATTCCAAAGGATGCAGTGCTCATTAAACCATGCTTAAATGAGTTGTTAAAATATGCTAAAGATATATGAATTTTTTTAGATCCATGAATTACCAGTAAATGAGAAACGTATTTAAACATTTCCCAATAGTAAGTTTGTCAATATTCTCTAGTTTGGTCAAATTTTGATTTATTGAAAGTCTATTTCATTAGAAGTATTCAAATTAAAATTGCTACATTTTACTGGTAAATTGGACTTATTACATAATGACTCTCATGCTCCCCAATAATGCTTTTGTGTCTTTAAGTCTACTTTGCTAATGTTAATATAACTACCATTTTCTTTTAGTTAGTATTTGCCTGAAATATCATTTTCTACCCTTTTATTTTCTTTCTATTTACTTATGCTTTTTGTAAACAGCATTTAACTTAAAGAAAACCAACTGATCTGAAGCTTTTATAAGCAGGGATTAGGCAATTTATATTTATTGCAGGACTTGTTTCTATATTCTATGTTTTTCATCTCTATTTTCTGCTGTTTTTTGCTTTTTTCTCCCTTTCTTTCCTTTTATTCAAATTGACTTTAAGTGTTCTTTTGCACACCTTGATTCCTTTCTTTCCTCCTCTACAGGTTTCCAGTACATATACCTTACAGTGGTTAACCTTGAAATTTTACCATACAAATTTAAACTACGTCAAACGTTAACTTTCAATCCTCTCCCAAACAATACATTTCACCTCTGATCTTCTCCTTAACAACTTAAGTATGATTGTTGTCCAGTGTTTTAGTTCTGTACTTCTCACCTCCCACTTTTATTTTTTTAAACAAATTAGTGGGTTTTATTATTATAGGATATCAATGCAAGTAGCTGATTTACAAATGTGTTTTTGTTTATACCCATATAATATTTATATTTAATTACAATCTGGGACATTTTCCTTAAACTTGAAAGTTAAATATCCAGTTGCCTACATGCCATTTACACTGTATGTCTATCCAAATGGCACTTAAAACTTCCAAAGAGTTCCTACTTCCCAGTTCTCTCCCCAGACTTCTCCATCTCAGTCAGTGACATTAGCATCTACCTAATGCTCAAACCAAAACACCCAGCCATAATTGACTGATTCCTCCTTCATCTTACACCTTATTCATCCTTTAATTTATAACTCAAAAATATTCTCAAACCTCTTTTCTTTACTTAATCCTCACTTATCATCCCCTAGTCCAAAACCAATTTACCGCTTCCCCCGTTTACCTTTAATCCCTTTCCAATTCAATCTCTATGAAACAGCTAGAGTGATCTTTTAAAAATGTGTGTCAGATCAATGACTTCTCCAGTTATAATTTCACTGATCTCTGAATAAATTCTAGATGCTGTATGTCCTACATAGTCTGGTTCCTGAGCACTTCATCTCATTCACTTCAGCTATACCATCTTCATACATACAAAGCCCTTTCCTTTTCAGTGCCTCTGCTCTGACCTTTGTTTCTGCCTAGAAAGCTCTTCCTCAACTGCTAATTCTTATCTTTCAGATCCTAGCTCAGAAGTCATTTTTACGAAAGTCCTCCCTGAATGTAGGCCCCTATCAGTTACTTCCTATCAAATTAGTGTTTTATTTCCTTCAGACTAAACATCACAGTTTGTATCATGTTTGTATCTTATTATTTGTCTCTCCCACCATAATGTGAGCTTCACAAGGGAATCTTCTTTTGTCTTGTTGACTGATATATATTCCTGGGAACCAGCACAATGCTTAGTACATATTAAATGCTCAATAGGTATCTGCTGAATGAATAATTACTACCACAAATTACATATGAAACAATAGTATTAGTAAATTAAGTAACAGTGATTAAAGATGATAGAACATATAATCTTGAAGAGCAAAAGACTCCACCTCAACCTACCAATGTGTCAGAACCAATTATATTTGTAAATTTCTTTCTTTACAGATTTTCTAATGTTTTACTCCCAGATTTTCTTACAGAATTCATCTCATGCTGGCAATTTATACCATTTGAGAAATACTAATTTTAATATTAGTCTAAGCTGAAAAATTTTTCCTAAGAAAACATATTCACCAAAATCGATCCCATGCGACTAAATATTAGAACCAACTAATTATCATAGAAAAAAATTAAAATTATCACAAAGCTACTCCATCACCAGGCTAGGTTTCACAAACAAATACTAACAACATTTAAAGTAATAAACAAGCTATTTAAATAAGAAACTATTTAAACAACTTTAAAGGAATGAATAAGTTATTTAAAGGAATAAATAATCTACTTAAACACCAAGAATTCAAAAAGAAAAAAAGGAAACATAATCTTTTAGCAAAGTATCAAATTGTTATCAAGACAAAAAAAACTAGCAACAATTCGCACAATGGCTCTCAATATTAAAATCCTATGTAAAATATTAGCAAACAGAATCCAGCAGTTCACTATAATGAGAATAAACCATGATTATGTGATCATGTTGAGTTTATTTCATGAAACAAGCGCAATTAAATATTAAGAAATACAGTAGCCCTAACCGGTTTGGCTTAGTGGATAGAGTGCTGGCCTGCGGACTCAAGGGTCCCAACTTCAGTTCCAGCCAAGGGTATGTACCTTGGTTGCGGGCACATCCCCAGTAGGGAGTGTGCAGGAGGCAGCTGATCGATGTTTCTCTCTCATCGATGTTTCTAACTCTCTATCCCTCTCCCTTCCTCTCTGTAAAAAAATCAATAAAATATATTTTTAAAAAAATACAGTAAAAGAATTATTCTTTAAAAGTGAAAAATCTTATGATCATTTCCTCTGATGCTAAAAAGACTTTAATAAAATTAGCAAGCATTCTTGCTAGAAATCTATAAAATAACGGAGGTACTTCCTTAGTGCAATTAAAAAAAAAGTGTGTGTGTGTGTGAAATCAACCTAAAAGCCAGAATCACTCTTACTGTGGAAATAACTAGTGCAAAGGTTGGTAAACTGTGGCCCATAGGTTATTTCTAGCCTGTCACTCACTGATTTATATAATTAAAATCTTGTTGCAAGACAGCTATACCCATTCATTTACTCATTGTCTATGGCTACTTTTACACTACAATGGTAGAATTGAAAATATTTGCTATTTGGCATTTCACAGTATATAGCCACTGTATAGCAATTATAGCTCTAATTCACTCATACGTAACTCCATCAAAGTTATCTTTTCAATGACCAAGTTTTCTTTAGTAAAGCGAAGTGGAAACACATGCTGTATTTTAATAGAAGGTACTGAAATTGCCTGTATTTTCAATGTGACTGTTCTTTGTAACACACTAAAACCATAATGAAAAAAATCAGTAGGACCTACTGGTCCTACACAGGGCTTATAAATGCATTTAATAGCATACTCAACATCTGAATGTGATATATAGCATTCTTAAAACAATAGATCTCAATGTTAAACATACCCTTCCTGAAGAGATAATTCTTGGTTTACTTCAGGACTACTGCTATCACTGTGTAGTCCAGGTTCATTTTCATCTTTTCCTGGTAGAGTCTCCCAACTTTCATCACTTGAGGACTGATCTTTTTCTGTACCAGAAAATCGATGAGGCAAAGAAGCAGACCATTCTCCATCACTGCACTCTGAACTGGAAATTTAGAATAGAAAGAAAATAAATTGTCATTATATGGTATGCGCACTTATCATTTGGAGTGTTAACCAGGCATCATGGTATAGACTACTGATGTCACACATTCTTCATCAGCTGCTAATTTTTTTTCAGCTGCTAATCTTTAAAATGAATAAATAAATATATTCAGCAGAATGTAACTTTTTTAAAATCCTCACCTGAGGACATGCTGAGAAGGAGGGGAGGAGAGAGGGGAGAGAGGAGAGAGACCTAGAGTGAGAGCGAGAGAGAGAAACCGAAACCTAGGGTCTGTGCCCTGATGGAGAATTGAACCAGCAACCTTTTGGTGCAAGGGGCGATGTTCCAACTGGGCAGAATGTAACCTTCTCAAATGAAGGTAGCATATGGCATGGCAAGTTATGGAATTATTAATTTATTAGTTTCTTCATGGAAGTATGTAATTCCATGGTGCCAAAATATAGATTCTTCATATTTTAGACATATTTTTAAGTAAAACTTTAAACTTAACTTGGTAATTATAAGTTAAATGCTATATAAAATAAATAATGATATTTATTATTCACCTGGACTGATTAAAACAACTTTCTAATTAAAACAACTGTCTAAAAATGATGAAATGTCTTCTATGAATAAATTTCTACTATTATCATGTTTTAGAAGCTTAGCTATTTTTTCCTTTTTCACAGACTTTAAAATGAAGATACATTCAAATTCATATAAAGTAGCACTGACAAATCTTTAGTGAAGTTCTTTGGTAGGACTATGAACCCAAAATATATTTCAATTCAAGAGAATATTTAGGTAAGAAACCAAAACATATGCTAAGGGGTTAATAAAGAACCTCAGAAAATTATTTTATTGGTTATATTTAACCTTGGTTAATCTGGTTACATTTGATTACTCTTAAAAGCACCAGTCATACTACCAAAGGCAAAAATCTTACTTACTGATGTTAAAAAGAAATCAAAGGGCCAAAAATTAATCCTCTTTAAAAGTATGTCCCAGAAATTAATATGCATTTGTGATATAAGTGGTAGAAAGTAATACATGAACAATTTTCTATTAGTATTTCATTCTGAACATTATGACAAATTTCAAACTTAAGGTCTATCTATACTAATAAAGAGCTAATGTGCTAATGGCCGGGAAGCCATAACGTGTAACGACCGGACCATTAGCATATTAGCTGGGCTAAAGTGGGGAGGTGCCCAGAGGAGGCGGGACCATCCAATGCCAGGGAAGGCGGGGGTGAGAGCCCATAGCGACCCCCCTCACCAGTCCTTCGCCACCCACCACTCGCACTCAGAGCGCCCCACGGCCCACCTGCCAGGGGAAGGAACACAGCACAGCAGGCAGGAGGCTTCCACGCTCTCCTCTGGCACCATGACAGGACAGAGCCGCCGTGTTCCTCCGGAGACGGTGTAAAAGCAGGGAGGCGCCCAGAGAAGGCGGGACCACCCCAAAGTGACTCGAGGGACTGAGGGCGGGGCTTGAAGTGGCCAGAGAAGGCCAAGGGTTTGGGGGCTGGGCCAGGCGCACTGGAGCTGTGTGGACAGGTTTGGGTGTCAAGGCAGGGCTGCAGGTGGGTGGGCGGCGCTGTGCGATTTCACGCGCTGGGCTCCTAGTTATTAAGTTAAAAGTCCAAATTGGCTCAGATGGAGCTAGTCAGAGGAGACTGTGTAACTCTGATTACTTTTTTTTTTACTACAAAAAAACAAAAACAAACAGAAAACCAAAGAACCTACCACAGGCAATTTCCTTACCAAAGAAACAAAATACTATATTTATATATTTTACATCAGGTGAAAGTTCCATCTACGACAGCCTCTTTTTACCCCTGGTAGTGGAATGCCACATTGCTAAACACAAGCTTTGAAGTAAGACAGATTTAGGTTAGGATCCTGGCTCAGTACTTACTAATAATATAAGCCCAGGCATTCAACTTCCCTAAACTCACTTTTCCTCATCTGTAAAATGAGAAAATTAATATTTACTTTTCAGGGCTATAGTAATGTTTAAATGAATACTATAGATAAAATGGCTAGCACAATTTTTGGAAAAGGGTAAACATTTAATAAAGGTGGCAGTTACTTTCTTCATTATATAAGCTGTTTGCTTAGACCTTTCACTTGGATTTCCAACCAGCACACCACCATTTTTCTGTTTTCTATACCTAAGAAAGTCTATATCCTCTGGTTTGTCTTACTAAATGGTAATATCAGCCACGTGGTTATCCAATTAGCTTTAATTTTAGTCTCTTTACACCAGAAGTCAGTAAATTCTGCCCTGGCCCATGAGTCAAATCTGGCCACCTGTCCATTATTTTTATGAGCTGGAAGCTAAGAATGGTTTTTGTGTTTTGTTTTTCATGTTAAAATGGTTACCAAAGTGCCTACACAATATCCTCACTTTATCTTTTGGTCCATAAAGCCTCCAGGGGTCTGGAGGAGACATGGGTCGATGGAAGAGAAACTGTGGAGCAGGAAAGGGTGAGCAAGCTCAGTAATCTTTCTTCATGGCTCTGAGCAAGCTTAGAAATCTTTTTTGAATTGTACCTGCCTTCTACAACTTTCTGGTTCTTTCCCTTTTACTAGCACTGTAGTAAAAGAAAATGAATACGGAAAAAAGTCACCTGACTGTGGAAATCAGGTAACTGTTAACATTACAGAATAGACAAATAATACTGAGAAATAGATTTGGTGGTGTTTAAAAAGAGTGGGTAGCTGTGAGTATGGAACATTTACTCTGAAAAGTCAGCAATGAAAGAGAAAAACAAACGGGCAAGTAGTTAATAGAGGGAGCAAGATCAAGTGAAGGTTTTCCCCAGACTTAGAAAAACTGGAGAATGGGAGGTGGAGGGGAGCAACCTAGGAATAAGGATAATAGATAAGTAAGGTGTCAGATATGACTGCAGGTACAGAATGAGACAAGTTACCTCTCTTCACTAAAAAAATTGAAAATAGAAATACTGAGATATTCTAATATAAGGAAGAGGAAAACAAGAAAGTTCATGGTTAACTATTTCAGTATCTATAGGAAAGCAGGAGACAAAGTTATCTACTAAAGAGTGACAAGAGTGCATAAAACTAAAAGCAAAAAGAGAAAGAAATTAAAAATAAGTTTTCAAAGAGAATAAGCAACAGAACAAATAGGATATGAAATAACTGTGGGTTAGAGGACCATTTGTTCTTGATTATAAAAACACATGAGTTAAAAATTTAAATTCTCAAAAGAAAAACTAAATTAAGTACCAGTTTAATTTTCATATGCTCTAGTACTGTCTCCCATTAACATTTAGAGCTATATTAAAAAGCAGACCACTATAACTTATTATTATGTTACACTTTTTACACATTCAATTGTGACCCAAAAACTTTTTTCACATATGGAATGAAATTATGTGATTTCTAAACAAATAATTTATGTACAAATCATAGCTAGAAATAAGATCTAGAAGTAAAACCAATCAAAAGCAACTTCTTCTTCACAAAATCCCTCAAGGAACTGGTTAGTTTGTCTTCCTCTATACAGTGGTCGGCAAACTCATTAGTCAACAGTACAATGACTGAAATTTCTTTTGAGAGCCACATTTTTTAAACTTAAACTATATAGGTAGGTACATTGTTATTAACTTAATTAGGGTACTCCTAAGGCTTAGGAAGAGCCACACTCAAGGGGCCAAAGAGCCACAGTTTGCTGACCACGGGTCTAGGACATTTCACCACTGTTAACATTTAACTATATTGTAATAGAGCGATACATATAGAGTTGTTTAAATATACAAGCCTGCTTAATTTAGTAAATAAGGCCCAAAATGGTATCTTTTTTGAATTGTACCTGCTTTCTACAACTTTCTGGTTCTTTCCCTTAATATCAGAATATTATAATCTGTAACCCCCTAGCATGCCTGTAGAACAGTGGTTCTCAACCTTCCTAATGCCGCGACCCTTTAATACAGTTCCTCATATTGTGGTGACCCCCAACCATAAAATTATTTTCGTTGCTATTTCATAACTGTAATTTTGCTACTGTTATGAATTGTAATGTAAATATCTGATATGCAGGATGTATTTTCATTGTTACAAATTGAACATAATTAAAGTATAGTGATTAATCACAAAAACAATATGTAATTATATATGTGTTTTCCGATGGTCTTAGGTGACCCCTGTGAAAGGGTCATTCGACCCCCAAAGGGGTCATGACCCACAGGTTGAGAACCACTGCTGTAGAACAAAGCCGTTTATCCCTAATTTAATCCTAAACTTTTATGACCTTGGAAACAAGATGAAAAGGTGTGCTAAAATGTTAGAGTGTGTGTTTTAAGACCTTTGTCTTGGCTGCTCATAGCTATCTTATTTGTCTCCATACAGGAAGATCAGAGATCTTTCTTCATGGCTCTGACCTAACTTATATAGAAGAGGAAAGGAGCTTAATTTAGTCTCATGATAATTACCAGTACATCTTGTCTTCTTCATTAGGATGGTGAACACCAAGGAAACAGAAATAATGATCATTTGCATTTACAGAATACCCAGAACAAAGTCTGACACTTAGGAGGATTTCAATAAATCTTTTCTGAATATATCAAATTGAAATAAACTAAATAGCTAATACTCTTTTTATTCTCCCAATATCAACAACAAAAAAAGCTGTCACAATATTTTTGTCTGAGGTAAGTTTTTTACCTTTTAAGCAAGGTTAAATAGGGACAGAAAAAAACTGAAAAAAACCTCAAGTGCTGTAAGAAATGGTTAGGAGAACAGTTAGGCCCAAGGTTAAAATGTACTGACATGGCTAAAAGGTCCTTTTAAACTCAAGATCTGTCCTCAACAGTTATTAAAGTTCTCAGGGTTTATTTCAAAAAAGCAGGATATTAACCTTAGCTCTTTGGTCTAATTCCAAGTCTGGTAATTATATGCTGCCTATTAAAATTCCCCTTACAGTTCTAATTTAATAAGGTGGTGCTCAGTTCCTGTCAAACAGCTCAGAGCAATGCTACCAGCTGCAGTGCTTTTCCCATAGACTGTAATGTTTCAGATGTGATTAAGTGATCATTTAAATTTTTCAGGGAAGAATAGGTTCATACATTCATTAACCCTTTTCAGTCCAACGTGGAGGCTGACTCAACGTGGAGGCGCTAGGAGCAGGTCCAACGTCAAGGCTGAGGTCGACACCACAAACCCGTTCAACATTCAATCCCATCAATTAATTTGGACCAGACTATTTGAATTCCAAAAATAAAATTGGACTGCAAAGGGTTAAAATGCCTTTCCACTGATAAAGAATATATACACTATATGTTTCTAAAGTGGCCAAAATTTCTGTATCTACATACATCACAGTAAATTTTAGTTATACTCTTGATAAAGGAGTTCAATTTGTAACTGTTATAATACAAACATAAAATATTTTTCAAGTGCATCATCTATAAGTTTTACTAAACATTGAACACTCAAAAAAAATCATGCAGATTCAAAGCAGAAGCTATTTGTACTTTCCTTCTCAAAACACTTATTTATGGTAGAGTGACTGTGTTCCCAATTTCTCCAAACTGCTAATATCAAAACTGAGCAGGACTACCGTAAAACATCAGGTAGATGAACAGTTGGCAAAATGAAACTAAACAGGAGCTACAACTATTAAATTTCAATCTTTATCTCGCATCATATTAAAGGCATCTGGCAACTGTGATCCTTTGCAGGGAGCAAGAGCAGAGGAACTGAAAACACTAAGATAGAAATAGAATTCCTCGTTAAAATTGTAGTGACTACTGAAATGAAGTCCTAAAACATATCTTAAGATTTATAAATGAGCCCTAACGGTTTGGCTTGGTGGATAGAGGTCAGCCTGCAGACTGAAGGGTCCCAGGTTCGACTCCAGTCAAGGGCATGTACCTTGGTTGCGGGTACATCCCCAGTAGGGGGTGTGCAGGAGGCAGCGGATCGATGTTTCTCTCTCATCGATGTTTCTGGCTCTCTATCCCTCTCCCTTCCTCTCTATAAAAAAAATCAATAAAATATGCTTAAAAAAAGATTTATAGATGAAAATATAAGTGGAATCCTAAATAGAACCATTACACTTATTCTGTGGTGAATCTTTTAAAAAAATCCTGTTTCTGGCATTTCAATGTTTTTTAAAAGTGCTCCAAAATTACTTTAACCATTTAAGCACACCCAACTACAGGTTCTATAAGTCAATGTATTACTAAAAAGTTAATAAAAAAAGTTTCTATTAAACTATAAGTACTTTTCTCATCTGTATAATCTGTTTGTAAAATAGATTATTGTTCAGATAACTGTTCAGGACATGCTGAGAAGGAGGGGAGGGGAGAGGGGAGAGAGGAGAGAGACCTAGAGTGAGAGCGAGAGAGAGAAACCGAAACCTAGGGTCTGTGCCCTGATGGAGAATTGAACCAGCAACCTTTTGGTGCAAGGGGCGATGTTCCAACTGGGCAGAATGAGCCAAAGAGCCACAGTTTGCTGACCACGGGTCAGCAGATCCTAACCTAAATCTGTCCTACTTCAAAGCTTGTGTTTAGCAATGTGGCATTCCACTACCAGAATTGTTCAGATTAATGACATTTCACTTAAGGAAAAAAATTATAAATACATATGCTAATACAACACCATATAACTATTAAAAAACCCAGAGTTATTCTAAGCAAAGAAAACACTTCCATTCACAAAAAGAATCAATTTAAAAGCCAAGAGTCAAGAAAACTACTTAAAAGCCAAGAGTCAAGAAAACTACGTTTTCTCTTTAGGTTGGCAAATAGCATAAAAATTTTAACTTCATTAGATGACATTACACCTGACTATTAAAAGCAAACAGAAGAGGTTTTTATTTTTGATTAGTGTGTCCACAGTGGAGAGGGCACAGCCAAATTAAATGACTTTCTTCAAAAAAAGCAAAAAATGTAATGGGAAAAAATGCAACACGCTTATACTTTCAAAAAGATAAATTATCTAAGACTAAGTTGTTTTATTTTTTAATAGTAACTTCAAGGTAAATGGAGTTAACAATCCAAAAGTCATAGGAATAATTATGTTTTGTGATTTAGATCCCCCTCCCACCCACCCCCATCCCCTGCCCTTGAGATTTAGAACATTACCTAACAATTCCCAGTGGGTCTAAAACAGCACCCAGTAATCAAGCACTCATAATACTGCAACAAAATTTATAAATATTTGAAAAAAGGGCCTCATTTTAGTTCAGACCCAGATCTGCTGTCAAGTAACTTAACATCAGGTCAGGTTTTGCTGCCAACATCCATTTTTAGAGCTTTGTGGATTTTGGATAAAAGATTGTGGATTTAAACTGGAGAAATGGAAACGTCAGACAAGTTTTTAACTATCTTTACCCTTAACTTAAAAAACAGTTACAAAAATATAGTCTATTAAGCCTTAAAGTTTACACACTTCCATGATAGTACAGGTATTATATTTCCACTGTTCCTACAAGTTAGTTAATTCATATGTCCAAAGAAAATAACACCAAGCTAATAAAATCTTGAAATTGCTTTGTAATTGATCATAGTTAGGGTTTCAACTAGCTTAAAAGGACATTTGGACTCTGCGATAATAGACTCAGCAATTGGACAAAGAAATTCTCCATTTCTCTTTCTGTTGTCTTACATTTTGGAAAAATAGAAAAAAAGTAGGTAACAGGGATCAGAATGCTTATTATAAGAAAAGTTATGGCCCTAGCCGGTTTGGTGCAGCAGATAGAGTGTCAGCCTGCAGACTGAAGGGTCCCAGGTTTGATTCAGGTCAAGGACACATACCTCGGTTGCAGCCTCGATCTCTGGTCCCAGTCTGGGCAGCAACCAGTTGATGTGTCTCTCTCACACCCATGTTTCTCTACCTCTCTCTCTCTCCCTTCCACTCTCTCTAAAAATCAATGGAAAAATATCCTCGGGTGAGGATTAAAAAACACACAATATACTTAGACTGGTTTTCCACAGAATTTTTAAAACTGTGATAAATGTTCGCCTTGCAATTCATTAATTGAGATACAAAGAATTAAAATAATTAGTATCTATTCTTTTGTAATAACAATCACCTGGTTATAATTTCTGTGAACTCCTGAAATACCTCAAAGACAGTTTCTGTAAAAAACTAACCACTACTTTGCATATATGGTTAGCACTTGGTAAATAAGAATAGTTAAGCCTGGCCAGTGTTGCTCACTGACCTACAAACCAAATGGTCACAGTTCAATTCCTTGTCAGGGCACATGCCCAGATTGTGGGTTCAATCCCCAGTGCAGGGTCATGCAGGAGGCAGCCAATCAATGATTCTCTCTCATCACTGATGTTTCTATCTCTCTCTCCCCCTCCCCCTTCCACTCTGAAATCAATAAAAATATACATTTTTAAAAGTATTTGATAAGTTAAAATATCTAATTCCCTGAGATGCCAGAGAATACATCCATCAAACATCATTGTACTAGAAAGAAATCACTTCGCTCACTACACGATCTGACGAAGTATTGAATAAAACCTTACCTGTCTTCATCTTTGTCATACAGTTGGTAATAATCTCCACAGCCATTCCAAAAGGTGTTATCCATAACTCCTTGCCTTCCTGCTGTGGCTCCACTTTCTGATGTTATTTGGTTATTTTCTGTTTCACTCTGTGTAACTCGTGCAAAAGGTAGATCCAAGAACATACAATCATGTTCTCCATCGTAGTCATCACATTTTATCAAGAGGTCATCTGAGCCATTTTCCTCAACTTCCAAAGCCTCCCTCCACCTCTGAACACTTCTTTGTTTAGCCTCATGCCTATTAAAACCTGATTCTTGGTTCACCTGGCTTGAACTTACCAGTTTTCTAACTTTAGGCCTCACTACCTGTTCAGGAGAACTTCCCTGCTTGTTGTCCCTATCCCTGGTATTTTGTTCACTGCAAATATGCCCCAGAGCACAGGCTGTATCTTCAGTTGAATTTTCTCTCTTTCTCTCCTGGCTAGTATTATTTTGTTCTTTCTTTCTAATAATCTCCTCTTCAGAAGAGGACCTCTGAAATTCCTGATTGGTTTGACTGACAATGTCACCAGTAGAACTTTTCACTAAAGGAGCTGAATCAAACTCTTCAAAATCATCTCGTTTTTCACAGCTAAAAGCGGGAACTGGTGGTAAAAGACCTGTATTTGCCTCTACCTCTCCATTTTCCAACTCAAATATTGTACTGCCCAAAGCTTCCTGATATCTACCACCTTCCACAACTTCTGGAGATGGCTGAAGACAGTCATTATCCTCCTCTCCATGTCTGCCATCTGGATCATGAGAGTCAGTATGAACCAATGCAATTCCATTTTGGACACTTGAGGCATTACAGGCTGCTGGAGTATATTCTCCCTCAGAGTTATTATGAAGATTTGTACTGCTTCCTAAGGTCTCCCTGCCTTCCCCACTATGTTGTACTGCAGCAAAGGATGGACTGCTCTCAATGGTCTGATTCAATGCTGTATCACAAATGGGAATTTCTGTTTCACTTTTTTCAAATAAAGGATTGTTGGGTAAAGAAGACTGAACTTGATCCAATGGACTGGAACCTTCGTAGAGAACAAAAGAAAACATATTTGGAGAGATTAATTTAGATAAAATTCAATTTAATACTGGCTATTTAAGTAAAAATCATATCAATTATTACCTCTTTGAGATTATAAAAGAATTTCTCTAACAGGTGCTTCTATGTACCCTTACTTTATTGGGAAGGCAGAATGGTTACCCTATGAGTTCATTTATGCCACTGTGTAGTCACTGAGTATCATCTCACATATCTTTTGCAGGTTTTCCACTAAATCCTAATATTTAAAACATTCTGTAAAGTACATTAAAAGCAGAGGCTAATGAAAGACCAAACAATAAGGCTTAAGTGAAGTCACTGCCCTCCCAGTTCTTGGGTTGTGCAATTCAAACTTAACTTTTCTATTACATGCAGGTGTAAAAAAAAAAAATTCAAAAGTACTTAACACATTGTATGCGGGAAACGTGTTTACACGTTTTACGTATTTATACGTTCTACCAGTGTAGTAGAGCACGGGACACGTATTAATACGTTTTTTATAGACTAGCGGTAGAATGCGGGTAACGTATAAATACGTAAACTAAAGTTATCGTAATTTTACTGAACGTTGCCATTTGCACAAAAAATTAGCAAAAATGGCCCGCGCCACCTGTTAGCGCGTGATAAAAACTACCCGCAAACAATGTGTTAAGACAGATATAAGATCAGATTACAGATATAACAGAAATGAGACTGCACTGTGTTTGATGTCAATTCAGAAGATTATATCTCAGTAATATAGCTATAATGAGTTAACTTTAGGTATGTTACAGCCATGAATGAAAAACAATGAAAAAGTCAATGTTAATTCTCTTTGCCACAGTTTGTCAAATCTTGATACAAGAATAAAATCATATCAAGTCTATAAATTACTTTAGCATGAGTATCTTTTATCACTACACATGGGATAATAAAAATAAAGACACGAAATTTATTGAACAAAAATTTATAAATTATAAATAACTGAGGATCAGTCTTATCCTATCACCAACAGGCTTCTTTAATAGAATGACCTTACATAATAATTCAGATTTTTATATGTATGTAAACTAGAGGACCGATGCACCAAATTCATGCAAGATTAGGCCTTCCTTCCCCCGGCTGCCGGCACCTGCTTCCCTCTGGCACCCGGGACCTGGGCTTCCCTTGCAGCCCCGGCTTCCTTCAGAAGGTGTTCCAGAAGATGTTGGTCTAATTAGCATATTATGCTTTTATTATTATAGATGACAGTAAACATAATCTAGAATTATCAAGTTTGTTCAAAACAAGAGGAAGATGGCATTCTAGTCCAAAATCATGTATTTTAATACATGAATATCTGCAAAATACTTTTCAAACTACTGAATGGTTAAGAAATTTTAACTAAGAATTAGTTGACATTTATATTTTATAAATGATTTTTAAAAAAAATCAAATGAGCCAAGCTATATTGCTTCAAGAGACAATTCTAAAAAACAAAATTTAAACTTAATATGCAGGGAAAAATATACTCAGCTACCATTTTAAAAATGTATTTGATTAAAACATCATTTCCTCTGGTTGAAGGATGTGACAATGTAATCACTGATATGAAAGTGTAGTTATATTTTGATAATTGGCCATATTCTATTTTCTTCTATGTTTAAATATTAACTAGTGGCCTGGTGCACAAAAATTTGTGCACTCGGGTGGGGGGGGTTCCCTCAGCCTGTGCCCTCTCACAGTCTGGGACCCCTCCGGGGATGTCCACCTGCTGGCTTAGGCCCGCTCCCCAGGGGATTGAGCCTAAGCTGGCAGTCAGACATCACTCCGGCAGCCCGGCAGCCCTCCGGGGATGTCCACTTGCCAGCGAGGAGCAGACCTAAGCTGCAGTCGGACATCCTTAGTGCTACTGAGGAGGCAGGAGAGGCTCCCGCCACCACCGCTGTGCTGGCAGCTGGCAGCCTGGCTTGTGGCTGAGCAGAGCTCCCTCATGTGGGAGCGCACTGACCACCAGGGGGCAGCTCCTGCATTGAGCTTCTGTCCCCTAGTGAGCAGTGTGTGTCATAGTGACCAGTCATTCCCAGTCGTCCTGCTGTTAGGGTCAATTTGCATATTACCCTTTTATTATATAGGATATTAATTCAATAAAAATTTAAATTAATTAAAAATTTCAGAATAGAATTTCTTCATAGAAATGTACAGCAGTTTTACTCATAGACACATATAAAACCCATTCACAATTTCAAATATCACAAGATTAATTCCTTCAGTCTTATTAATAGTTTTTAAATAATTCTGTGGTACATACCTGAGGAATTTTCCTTTGGAACATCATCTAGTTCCAACACTTCATAGTCATCACCAGCTCGACCTAAGCTTCTTTCATGCCTTGTCATACAAGGTTTAAAACTGACATAGGCATGTCTTCTTCCATATCTCCTGCCTGTGATTGTCTGATATCCTCCTGCTGGTTTGGGCCAGGCAGCCTTGTTGGATTCTTGATCCATTGCTGAAAAACAGAGTTAGAAATAAGAGTCACAGCAATGACTTTCATACTGGTGATTGGTTGGGGTACTGTTTGAACATATATGCTACTTGCCAAATCATATGCTATTAAACATCAAGTGTACCTTATTTTTTTTGTAAATTAAGTTTCATTTATTTACTAGTAAGCAATTCAAGAGTGTCAACCAATTTCTAAAAATTACTTATATTGAAATCTTAATGTTTATGTAATTATACTCTCTCAATACAGATTATTTAGAAAATAAAACACAAAGTAAAAATAAAATAATCAACACCCAATATTTTAATATGCAAGCAGCTCTCATTTTCTCAAGTGTACCTTATTAATATGTACTATGTTATAAAAGTTATGTGGCCTCTTTACCCACAAAAGTATCTTTTAAAGTTTGGTTCCTTTAAGGTATTTAAGACTTTTATAATGTAACCTACCAAAAAGATATTCATATGCAAAACTACTATAGTGCAAAAGCTCATTAAGGATTGGAAAATGATTCTCCAAATTATCTCAGAAAAGTACCTTACATATAAGTGCTCAATACATATCTGTTGATTTCATTACTAGAACATGATATGATGATGGTTTCAATTACATTAAGAGGAATACATTCCTGTCAAAAGTAACAGTTAACTTCTTTAAACGGTATATATAATACCAAAAAGAACCAACTGGACCCACAATAAATAAGTCCAATAAGTTAGGGCCAGATAAAATTCTCTAAAAAGAAAATAATGATGAGCCAAGTCAAATACATACTACCACACCTTTCAAAATTACCAATGGTATACATTATGGTAAGAAAAGCCACCAACATTTGAATAACTTGAATACTAAGTTATGATGATTGAGAAATATATAGTAGAAAACAGTAGCATCTTTTACTAAATATGACATTATTTTATATGTATTAAGTATAAGTTTACTTAGTCAATTCGATTTTATGTATACAATGCGGGAACAAAACAGAATATTATCCCACAGTATATGGAATAGTCAATAAATACGATAGTTACATATTTTTATTGCATTAAAATAAGAAGTATAATTGCTTCCAAGCATGAAAGAAAAACAAACATGTACTTATAAAATACAATAGCAAGTATCACATTATGTTATTTAATCCCCTCAACAACCTAATGAGGTAAATACTGTAGTTTATTTTAAAGATAAAAAAATTAAGGTTAAAATTAAGTATTTAAGTAGTTTGCTCCATAATACAGTAATATGACTCCAGATCCAGTGCCCTTAACAATAACTCCAAAGAAATAGTCTCCAAAGTGGAAAGTACAATTGAAGCCAAGGGTATGTGAAAGGAAAATATAAGAATTTCTACTTGCACTTATTTTCATATAAAAAATTAGAAATGCAGCTTTATAAATATTTAACATATGGAGGAAAAACTTGCTTTAAGACCATAATCACATGTCATGTATGACACTGAGGTATCTGGAGGGAAAAATATAAAGTCCTCAATGTAGAGATACTTTGCTTACCTGCTGGCTCTTTTTCAGTAAACTGTGACATATATGGCAGTTTTTGTGTGCCCAGTTCAATGGAATTTTGGATGTGACTTAGTTTTTACTCACACAGTAAATAAGCTGCAGAAGATTCCTACAAAGAAACAATGGATTAAACAAAATAACAACACAAGCACAAAACAAAAAGGCAAAAATAATACTTCTGCTTCTAGTGAAACCTTTGTTAGCTTTATAACAACAAAAAATATGATCAGACAAGTTAATAAAAAAAACCTCATCTATATATATATATAAGGCTAATATGCTAATTGTCCCTCCAAACATCCGCTATGACGTGCACTGACCACTAGGGGTCAGATGCTCAATGCAGGAGCTGCCATAATGCGCACTGGCCATTTACAAAGAAATGGCACCATGGACCTGGTGCTGACAAAGCAACACTCGGCTTCTCCCAAGTGGGACACAGGCCCCAACACCACCCCGGAGCCACAGCCCACCAAATCACAACCAACGTTGCCGAGACCCCATGGCACAAAATGCGACCCACAGCCCAGCCCAGCCCAGCACAGCACAGCCCAGAAACAGTCGCTGTGGGCGCCGAGTAATGACGCCCACACGTAGCAATGCCCAGCTTCTAGCAACTTGCCTCCAAACATTTTACACTTTAACCAAATGTCTGTGAAGCATTTTCCTGTGACTCATTTCATTTGATCCTCACAGAAGTCCTACAGTAGGTAGATAGGAGAATCAGTGGAATCCTATTTTCTTTTCATTAGCTGGAAAACGGAGATTTAGAAAGTTTAGAAACTTGACCCAATGGAAAAGAAGTAAGAAATGGTGGACCTTGAAAATGACTTCAGGTTTTCTCACTGCGTAGAACATAGTCAAACACTGCTGCAGTTACATATTTTACCCTTTGTTCTCCCTTCGTGATCTGCAACAATAACCTGCTTCATATTGATATTTACCACTGTGTTGCTGACAATTATCTGAAAGAGAAGTTGGGGTGCTTCACTGGGCTAGAAAAAGTTTAGCTAAATCAGAAAGCAGGTCTAAGTAAGCAAGTTTATTCTACTATATATATATATGCAAGGCTAAGTTGACTTGAGTATGCACGATACATATAAACCTCTCGCTAGCGCCAATCGCACATGTGTGTTTCAATCTGTCACTATCGATCGTGAATTTGGTTGACACTTCTATTATAGAGAAAGGGTGAATAGCAGTATTAAAATATTTCTTCTGATTAATTCCCTTTCAATGTGCACTGTGCCACTAGTATAACTATAAAATGACCATTTGAAAACAGTTTTACATCTCGTCTTGAAAAATCTTGCTGTAAGTATATTTCATCCTTAAGACGGACAATAACAACAACACACACAATTAATAAGTAAATAAGCAAATTTATTTGGGGAAGTGCTGACTGGGGTATGTGATCAAATTATTTGGTACTCTAGTACACTATGTCATATCTTTGCTTCTCCATCAAGCACTATATTGTTCTTTTAGCCCTGGTTTATTAAAAAAGTTAAACCTAAGAATACAAACTTAGGCTTATGGTGATTAATGTATAATGTATACAATGTATAATGTATGATAAGTAATGTATAATGGCATATGACAATTAAAAATTAATGTGTGTAAATAATGATATACTTACGCTTTACATTAGTCAATTGATCATTCAAGTATTTTAATCCCAAATAAGAACCTAGTCTAAATTAGAAAAATCAAAGTCTACCATGTAAGAATATTAAAAGACCCTCTGCAGTTTTGAAATTAATACATTTATTTACTATTTCAAAAGTTGCTATCTGTGCTCTTCTCAAAGTTTGATAAGGACTTAATTTTTTATTTAAATACCTGATTTAAATATTTGAGCTATTGCTAACTTCCTATCACCAACTCATATTTATTAGAAGACGATAGTTCTGTAAGTGAATTTATGTTATCTGTCTAGCTATGGATAGCTATTAACATACATAGAGTATACACATATCTATATATATAAAGGCCTAAGCAACCATTACAACCAGTTGACCAGAACGACTGATCGCTATGACATGCGCTGACCACCAGGGGACGGATGCGCAACGCAGGAGCTGCCACCTGGTGGTCAGTGTGTTCCCACAGCAGGAGTGCCACTCAGCCAGAAGCCAGGCTCATAGCTGACAAGCACAGCTGCAGCAGTGGCAGGCAGCGGCGGCTGGAGCAGCAGGGAGCGTGAGTGGCAGGGCACCCGGCTGCGGCTTGGGATCCTCCCCAGCTGCCTGCCACTCAGGCACTGCTACATCCCTCAGGGGATGTCGGACTGCCAGTTTCGGCCTGGTCCCCACAGGCTGGCAATCCAACATCCCTTGAGGGGTCCTGGATTGTGAGAGGGTGCAGGCCAGGTTGAGGGACCCCATCCATGCATGAATCCATGCATGAATCCGTGCACGAATCCGTGCACCGGGCCTCTAGTAAATTATAAATTTAGCAACAAGTTGTAATCCTCTATCTCAGTGGTCGCCAACCTGTGGTCCGCGGACCACTGGTGGTCCATGGGATCCGAAAGGTTGGCGACTGCTGCTCTACCTGAACTGAGTCAGACTGTTAGCAATAGATAAAGGGTGAAAATATATCTAAAAAATCATACTGGCAAAAATAAAAGCTCTAATTAATACTGTTTTAATAAGAAAAAAATCTTAACTAGAATCCTTATACATTTACAGTACAAAAATGGCAATCTTAAAGGGTAACTATGGACTTAAGTTCATGAGTATTTTCTTTGGAATAAGGCTTTATTCTAACATGTTCCAGGGCACTATTTGCAGTGCTGATACAACAATAAACAAAATGAACAAATATTCCTGATCCCTAAAAGCATCAACAAACCTCTATTAGAATAATGTTGTGGTTTTAATACATACCCATAAATTATTTAATACTTCACCCTCCAAAAAAGCAGAGCCTAATTTGCTCCCTTTAAGTGTGATCTGTACTTAGTAACTTGTTTCTAATAAAGATAATGTGATATAAGTGACAGTTCAGGATCTAAAAAATTAGGGCACAAAAGGCATTGTGGCTTCATCCTTGTTTGCTCTCCCTTTGCTCTCTTTCTCTGAGGGGAACCAGCTGTTACATCATGAGATCACTCAAGAGTTCTATGGAAAGGTCCATATGAGGAGTAACTGACAATTCTTGAGGAAATTGAGGTCCTCTGGCAATAGCCATGTTACTGAACCAGCTAGGAAGTAGTTGCTTCATCCACAATCAAGTCTTCAGATGACTGTACTCTAGGCCTAAATCTTGAGTGAAACCTTATGAAAGACCTTGAGCCAAAACCACCCAGCCATGTTGCTCCTGAATTTCTGACACACCCAAACTATCTACACTAATAAAAGACAAACATGCAAATTGACCATACCTTCGCTATGCCTTAAGCCACGCCCACCAGCCAATCAGAGTGACTATATGCAAATTAACCCAACCAAGATGGCGGCTGGCAGCCAGGGAGCTGGAGTGAGCAGGAGGCTTGACTGCCCCAATGATGAAGGAAGCCAAGCTTCCCGAGTGCCGTGGCGGCTCTGAGCTCCACTCAAAGCAACAAAGTTTCAATTATAGAAGATAAATAAACCCCAGATACCTGCTTTCAGCTGGCCATGGCTAAGGAGCTGGGGCAAGCAGGAGGCTTGGTTGCTCCAGTGATGGAGGAAGCCAAGCTTCCCGCGGCCGGCTGTAGCCTCCGCAAAAGGCAACAATGTTTCAATTATAGAAGGTAAATAAATCCCAGAATAAAAAAGAAAAAGAAAAAAAGGAGAGGCTAGGAGCTTCAGTCGCCGGGGGGCTTGGCCAGCCTGAAAACGGCCCTCAGCCCCTCACCCAGGCTGGCCAGGCACCCCAGTGGAGACCCCCCACCCTGAAGGGGGTGTGACCAGCCTGCAAACAGCCATTAACCCCTCACCCAGGCTGGCCAGGCACCCCAGCGGGACCCCCACCCTGATCCAGGACACCCTTCAGGGCAAACCAGCTGGCCCCCACGCGTACACCAGGCCTCTAACCTATATACTAAAAGGGTAATATGCAACTGACCCTAACAGCAGAATGACTGGGAATGACTGGTCACTATGACACACACTGACCACCAGGGGGCAGTTGTTCAATGCAGGAGCTGTACCCTGGTGGTCAGTGTGCTCCCACAGGGGGAGCTCTGCTCAGCCACAAGCCAGGCTGACGGCTGCCAGCACAGCGGTGGTGGCAGGAGCCCCTCCCGCCTCCTCAGCAGCACTAAGGATGCCGGACTGCAGCTTAGGTCTGCTCCCTGCTGGTAAGTGGACATCCCCCGAGGGCAGCCGGGCTGCCAGAGGGATGTCTGACTGCCAGCTTGGGCCCAATCCCCCCAGGGAGTGGGCCTAAGCCAGCAGGTGGACATCCTCCGAGGGGTCCCAGACTGCGAGAGGGCACAGGCCGGGCTGAGGGACCCCCCTGAGTGCACAAATTTTTGTGCACTGTGCCTCTAGTAAGATAATAAATGTTCTGAGCCGTTAAGTCTATTGCAGCTTAATGCATTATCCTACAACAGATAATACAAATAGTGAAAATTACATGTTCTTAGACACTGGATTTTATTATAGTTCCACCTATTACTAGAACAAGATTTTCTAATACCATCTCATGAAAGTATATTTCTCCCTTTAAAAGCTCTACTTCTCAGCATGCAAAGTGCCATGTTGTGGTTGACAGCATCAAAAGGAATTACACCCGCCCTAGCCGGTTTGGCTCAGTGGATAGAGCACTATCCTGCGGACTGAAGGGTCCCAGGTTTGATTCTGGCCAAGGGCACATGCCCAGTTTGCAGGCTCAATCCCCAGTAGAGAGCATGCAGGAGGCAGCCAATCAATGATCCTCTCATCATTGATGTTCCTATCTCTCCCTCTCCCTTCCTCTCTGAAATCAACAAAAACATATTTAAAAAAGAAAAGGAATTATACTGGTCTTTTGCTTGTTGGGATTATCAGAACTGCTGCTTAACACCTATACTCCACCTATCACCTAGAAGAGACTCATCAAATAACTACTGAATCAGGGACACTTACTTCTAGAATTTAAATCTAACTGATTCAAATGAAGCTTTACACAGAGGAAGAT